GTGCTGCAGGATCTTCCTGTAGTTTGCTAAGACAGTCTTACAGAAAATAACATAATTACAAGAGTGACATCCTGTCACCTTTGACAGATAGTGTGTGTTAGATGCAAGTCTTAGGCTCTGCCTGAATGCAAGGAGAAGAGATGATACAAGGGCATGGCTCATTGTGGTGTTTCCACCCCAGCGGGAAATGCAGTTTTTGGTTGTTTAGGCTCTGTGATAAACGAATTGGAAGAGTTGTTAACAGAGCCTATCTGTTGTGCCTCCAGCCTTATGTTTCAGGACAGGCTAGTGAGGAACCTAGGACCTCTAGGGATGTTTCACTATGGATAAAGCTGGAGAGGTAGGTAGGACCCTAATTATTAATAAGGTGTCTGGTTTATCACAAAAGGGTAAGGGGAGCCTGTAAAGTCTTTAAGCAAGAAAACAATAATCAAATCTGCATTTTGAAAAGAAAGTGCATTGGGTTTTTAGTACTATGCAGTAAGTTAGCATGTACCTAGCAGTGTAAAACAATGCATATTTAATAGCTCACAGTTCTATAGATCAGAAGTTTGTGTGGGCTCTTCATCCTACCCATTGGAGTCTTAAGTAACAGACTGGTTACTAAATGTCCTTTGAGGTTCCTATATTAGCATATCCTGACATCCGAAGGGGGTTTTACGAAGACAATAAAAATAATTGTATATGATTGAGCTCAGGCTCCATAATGAACAATCATATACAACTTTCTACAAATGGTATGCAGTATGTATCTATATGAGCTCTAACTCTGCATCACTGAGGACTTGGGGTTTACATCTAATCCTGGTAACTGAGAGGCAGTCTTGGATCTGGGCCTGAATTGAGTTCCCCACTGCTCCCCGGCTCTTCCTTTCAGTTGTTAGTGCTGGAAAGCCACTAACAGATTCTTGGTTCCCGACCCTCATTCCCCAGTCATGACCTTTACCTCTGCATTTGCTCAAAACATGGCCTTTAATCACCAAGTCTCATGGGTTCCTTTGCTGCACACAGCATGCTTTGCAAAGTGATAGCTTCCGCTTCACATCTAAAAACCATTTTCCTTCTTTGTTACACTCGATAACGGTGATGCTTTTTCCTTTTAAACTAAAGAACATTGGCTACACCTGCAAACACATTCCATGAAGTGAAATGAACTTGACAACTGAAACAGGAATAGAAAAATGATTTCTACAAATATATATTGTTTTACATATTTCTAGAAGTCCTTCTTTTTATTCTCAGTCTGCTTCTCATTTCACATAGTCTCTTTTTGTGTGTGCATCTTTGTGATAACAAAGGAAACTCTTCTATCTACTTATATTTTATACATGGCCCTTCTTCAAATCTATTGTTCCTACCAACTGTTACTCGTAGTGGCTTACACTGTGACCTTAGATTTATTTGTGAAGGTATTCGCTCTGGGGCTCTAACTCAAGCTAGCTTTCGTTTAAATGGTATGGCTTCTGCTATTACGGATGGCTACCAACTTATAACCGCATTTGTCTGCTTTAAAGATATTGATTGGCTCAGTAGGTGAGAACCAGGCTCTGTTCCTCATCCCTCTGCTAGTCCAAGATTCTGAATTCCGACAGGGATTCAGAATCACCTACTTTGCCTTAGTTCAGACCCTTGCTCACTTTCTGTTCTTTTTGGTGGTAACGGAGGGTATTTCTAGTGAAAGCTATGATGATTGTGCAGTGGGAGGGGCTATTTAGCATCTCAATGGACATAATGCTATATCAGAATAGGGCCTTGGATCATGCAGACACAAAGCAATGATTACATTTCATTTTTGATACTATTAAAGATTTATTTCTGGCTGCAGTAACTCAAGATATTTTGCTTATTTCCCACTTCATGCACATTGATTTTTTTGGTAATGGTAGAAGATACGTGATTACCAAAGGAACGTCGATCAAGGCATTGATGTTAGTGAAGCTTCTAGAAGAAGAAGAAAAAGTATATTTTATTTTATTTTTGTAAGACATGGGCCAGTAGTGCAGAACAGAAACACTTCCTATTTACTGATAACAGCAAAGGCCTTTTATTTATGTCACATTACATTTCTAGAAAAGTATTTTAATAGGAATGATTATTTTGACTTTGATTTTCTGTAATAATGCTATATAAAAAATAATACTTCAGATTTGATATTTAAAAATGTTCTTTCATAATGTATTTATGGGCATCTAGTAGTGGAAGGGCAGAATTGGTTTTCTCCTCTGTCATAATTGTCTGAACATCTCATATATTCTTAAAGAAATTGTGTTCAATAATTAGACTCTGAGGGCATGAACTATATTTTATTCATCTTTATATCCCCATATACTTTGTATTCCTCGATCCAGTGCCTGGCATAAAACAGTTATGCAATAATTATTTGTTAAATAAAAAAAGAAATATCTGGTTAGAATAACTTTCTGTAAAAATTAAGCTTATGATTAAAAAGGAGGGAATTTATTAGCACTAAGACATTTTTTCTTAAGCAACAAAATTATCTATCTTCACATTATTTCTTTCGTATCTTTAGTCACTGTAGCTTTGAATATGAATAGAAAATGAACCTCAAATTGAATTATGAGCGAATAGAAATGTCCTTAGGGATAAGTTGAAAAAGTTTTAAAATTCAACCAGAGTTACATAAATAAATAATTCAGTAAATGAAAACAGAAAAAAAGAATGTTGAGACATTTTTTTAACATAAGTTCAAGTTATCTCATTAAAAAGTTTTGGTCAGTGGAGAGAGAACTGAGAGCTAAAACAAATACTAGTTGTGAAGCTTTAATCATATATCAGAAATCAAGAGTTTTGTTTGTATCATTATTGGGGACCCGTGAAGCATATTTGAAATTCTTGGGGTGTTCACAGTCTTGTTATTTTCTTGTTTTGTGTCAGTGGAAAGGTCTTTGAAATTTTCTATCGTGAAGAAAGTTGACTCAATTGCTGTCAATGGTCTGTATTTTTCCTTTCATTTTCACATACACACTTGGAAGCACACAGTCTGTTAACAAAGTGCCCCTCCCAAGTCCCTGTTTTGTGTGTTTCAGAGTATGCGTTCTGCACAAAGATTATAATTTCTTACACTACTTCTTAGAAGGGAAGATGTTCAGGGTGGGGAAAATGATTAGATGTGGGATTTTCTTTCCTTTTTTTTTTTTTTTTTTTTTTTTTTTTTTTTTGAAAAAACCCTATTACTAGACAGGTACCTAGCTGCTCCTGGAATTAAGTCACTGGACCAATAGGGATGATTATTAATTCTTATTTTCTTAAACAGTTCTTAAAAATCGAGTTCTTGATGTATTGATGTATTGTGATGTGAGGTGGTTAGAATTGTGTACAACTCTTATACAAAAGTCACTCTAACTGAACTTGGATACTATCCTCTGAAATTCTTGAAGATTCCTTCCATCTTCCACGAATGTGGTCAGGTTAATTTTATTTTCTGAGATTCAGATTCTCTGCTTGATAAGCTATCTTGGTCAAATATTATTTCTCTTTTGTGTCTCCTTAAACTATTTGGTCACTTCCATCAATTCATAGAATCTAAGAGTTGGAGGGAATATAGATCACATAATCCACATTCCCAGAAAATGCAGACTTGGCTCTATCATAACTCTGCCAACTGCTGCTTTGCAGAGTAACAAATAATCCATCCAATGGAAAGTTGGCATTAATAATTTTAAAATATAACTAAGCCTGAACTTTAATCTGCCCTTCCCACTGCCACCTCTTTATTCTGGTTGTGCTTTGTGTTCCGAGTCTGTTAGTCAAATTCTTAGCTTTACATAATCATCAGATTTTATCACTCATGCCCATATATTCACATATTGTTTTTTCTACCAACTTCATATTTTCATAAAATAATGCAGGCCAAGGTGATCTGTAAACTGTGAAGTGATCCTTGAATGTAAATTATTGTTTAACATATCAGTATAGAATAAGCTATCACCCTTTTTTAAACCTAGGTTTATTTATATGAGCTTTGGGTTTCCATCCTCTTTATCCTCTTAGTTTCTAGAAACAGATGAGTACTTATTACTTTTGCTATTTCTCCTCTAGGTCAAAGGACTCAAATTACATACTACTGATAATACTCCAATTCTTATCGGTAGTATGTAAAGAAACTGAATTAGTCAATAGGGTTTGGTTTACTGATATATTTCATCTCTGAATCTAAGTAATATTTATCCAAATATAAGCATGGTAATAACATAGAGTCCATTTTTTACCCCATTTTTTCAATTTTTTATTTATTTGAATTATTAAATTGGAAAGAGGAAGGTGGGGGAAAATACTACAGTTTAATTCTCAAAAAAAATTTCAGCCATGTGCAGTGGCTCACGCATGTAATCCCAGAACTTTGGGAGGTCAAGGCAGGTGGATCACCTGAGGTCAGGAGTTTAAGACCAGCCTGGCTAACATGACGAAACCCTGTCTCTACTAAAAACACAAAAATTATCTGGGCATGGTGGTAGATGCTTGTAATCCCAGCTACTTGGGAGGCTGAGGCATGAGAATAATTTGAACTTGGAAAGCCAAGGTTGCAGTGAGCCGAGATTGTGTCACTGTACTCCAGCCTGGTGGATACAGCAAGACTGTCTCAAAAAAAAAAAAAAAAAAAAAAAAAAAAAAACCACAACTTTATTAGGTAGGCATTTGTATTTCCATTTCACAGATGAGAAAATTGATTTTCAGAGAAACTTCTAAATTTGCCCAAGTTCACATATCTAATAAGTAGACCATTAAAAAAATCTAGAAAAATAAGAAAAAGAATAGTAATGTATCTAGAAAGCGTATGAAAACACCAAAACATAAAGAGGAAATATGACTAAATCTCATATCTTAATCCTTAAAAAGGCAGGTCAAGATTATAAAGCTATAAAGATTATAAAGCTGTGAGCGATTCTTCATTTAAATACCAATTTGATAATTGTATCCACAAGATAACTGAAAAAGGTAGAAGAATGTCCTCTTCCATGCTGAACTTCATGAAGGCCTCAGGTCACAGACAGGATAACGATAGTAATACTTACTAAATCAGGAAACTCTACAGTTCTAGCAAATACTAACACAAATAAATATTTGTGTTTTTCTTCTGTAATTTATAAATTTATTTTTAATATATTCATTTATCAAATTAACCATATTACAGAAACGTGAGAATTTAAGATGGATGAAGCAAAACTCATCAAATATTTCATGTGTGATCCATCCTCTCTCCCTCCCTTCCTCCCTTGCTTCTTTTCTTCCTTTTGCCTTTCTTTTCTTTTTTTCTGAGACAGGGTCTGACTCTGCCTCCCAGGCTGGAGTGTAGTGGTGTGATCAAGGCTCACTGCAGCCTCAACCTGCTGGGCTCAAGCAATTCTCTTGTCTCAGCTCCTCAAGTAGCTGAGACTACAGGTGCTTGCCACTGTGCCCAGCTAATTTTTGTTTTGAATTTTAGTAGATTTAGGTCTTGCTATGTTGCCCAAGCTGAGCATTTGTGATTCTTGATGTAGAAATGTGTGTTCACGGTCATATTCCCACAGCCTGTAAGAAAGATAGTCTAGTTAGTATTGACAGGGTGCATGTGAGGTAGAGCTGAAAATAACTAAAGATGATTTTTAAACAAAATTCAGAGTCTGATAGACTATCCTTTATAATAAAAATGTGTATATATTATATCACAGCAATAGGAAGAACCCGCTCATCTTAATAGAGAGAGAATGAATTTGAAGTCAGGAGGTTTGGTTTCTGATCTTAACTAATTCTTTAAGTGATAGAGAATTCTTTGGTCATTTTTTTTTCATCTGTCAAGTAAGGGGGTTGGATAAGATCAGTGGCTCTTGGCTGGGAGTACATTGCCCTCCTTAAGGTGTGTTAGGAACTTTGGCCTTTTTTCTTTTTTCTGGGAAGACATTCAAGAAGTTTGTCTGTGGCTTGGGGAACATTGACTGTTGGTGTTAAGTGCCATGTGGAGCTTTCTGTGTGACTTAATGCTAATCACATCCACTTATTCAGGGGTTACTTGTCTTTATTAATTTACTTACTGAAGGAGGAAACTACAGAACAGAGTATAATCAGGAAAATGCTGTTTTTTTTTTCTATCAAAGTTTAAGAAAACATAGGCAGATTTCTTTATGGTAAAGCCAAAAATCTCAAATGCCTGAAAAGGAAAGGAGAGACAATGTGTGCCTGTACCATAGGGCATTCCAGTGACTCCGAAGAAAGGAGCTAAAGCAAACAGGGCCAAATTCCTACAATTAGTGCTGCCTGGAGAATCTCATGGGACCAAGATACCAGGTCCTCCCATCAGGTTAGACCTAAGTGATCAGCTTTCTGTTCTTACTTTGTTTTGTGAATTTCCACATGTCTCTAAACCAAATGATTCAGCCTTCAAATAACCTCTCTTTGGAGAAATTGAAAAGTATCTTCAAGCACCATTAACTTTCACTTGGGTTTGCCAAGCAAAATTGTTTACCAAGTGTGTAACCCTTGTTTACCAAGTGTGATACTCTGAATGGATGGCTTAGGCTTCACCCGAGGATGCTGTAAGGTTTTCAGGAAGTAAGACAAGCTGCACTTCATTAAATGAGACATTTTTCTCCACCCTGTGATTATTGCTGGAGTTCACAAATCTTAATGGTTTTTAAGTTTGGAATGTTTCTTATGCTCTCATTCTTTCTGAAGAGCAGCAATCAGAAATAATAAAGGTACTCAAGCATTGCCCTGGCTTGCTGGAATATTTCTTGAGAAATTTGGTTGCTAAAGACTGCTTCCCCAACTTTGGAGAAGAAAAGTAATTTAGGATAAGTCAAGATAAGCATCTACCCTTGGTAGAAATTTGTGTGACCCAAAACGTCAGCTTCTAGGAGCCTTACCCTTTGCTAATTAAATCGTTTTAGGCCTCAAATGTCTACTAGATCAATGTAACTCAGTGGAGAAGCGGCCATTTTGCCTGTGAGAGTTGAGAAAATAAAATTTCATACATTTTTAGTGATGGGTCAACGTTAGAGTGTAAAGTATCTGAAAAGGAAAGTGAAATTCTAAAAACCCTGTACCCTACCAAGTTTTGTATAATGCAGATTTAAAGAGCAATAGATAATGACTCTGTCATTGGTTTTACGTTTAGATAACTTGAAATACCAGTAGGAAAAACAGATTTCTCTTTATTTTTAGAAGTGAGTGTTTCTTACAATGGTTGGAAGAGGTTTCTTAAGGGTTTTCTGAAATTATGCCTGAAAAATGGGATGAAAACAGGGATTTCGCAGTAATGCTTTCTCTCAGCTGTCCCTGTACTGAGTCATAGGCAGCATAGAGTACCCTGGTACTCTGGAAATTACCATCTGTTTGTCACCACAGTGGAAGGTAAACAGGGCAAGTCCTTGGGAAAAATTGTATGACACAGTAAGCTTTTTAAAAAGCATCTTAAACTTCTTTTCATATATTGGGAGGATTTTACTTAAAACTAACATTTTTTGCATTGAGGAAGCTCGTTCATCTTCTGCAAGAATACCCAGAGGTATGCTTACACATGTGCTCCTAATTTGTTGTTTTCAATTTAATGTGAAGGAGTGAGAGTTAATGTATTTCTTTTTCTGTAGGACATTTGTATGTGCAACTTTCTCAAAACCTTCGTTCTAACATTAGGATGCAAACACCATTAAGGCAGGAGATATTTCTGAGGTTTTGTTCTCTGTCCGCCTCAGAGCTCTGTATATAGCTGGTGCTCAGAAGCACTTGCTCAGTGGACTTGAATTACAATTAAATTATTCAGAGATAGAATCCCTGCCTCTGTCAGTAATCTGGTTTAGCCACCGTAGGAACTGGGGTGAAGAACAGAAAAGTTGAGGTGAACAATTTTAAATGATTTTGCAAGTACATAAGGTGAAATCAGTTCTACCAATTGTAAGTTAAATTTCAGTTTGTTATGCCACATTGTGTATTATTGAGACAGGGAAGAAAAGTGGGCACTGACCACTGGTGAATGTCCCTCCATGCCTGTAATCCCAGGATTTTGGGCGAGGCGGGCAGATCACTTGAGGTCAGGAGTTCAGGACCAACTTGGCCAACATGGTGAAACATTTTTCTATTACAAATACAAAAATTAGCCAGGTGCAGTGGTTTGTGCCTGTAGTCCCAGCAACCCAGGAAGCTGAGGCAAGAGAATCACTTGAACCCAGGAGGTGGAGGCTGCAGTGAGCCAAGACTGGGCCATTGCACTCCAGCATGGGCAAAAGTGATACCCTATCTCAACAACAACAACAACAACAAAAACAAAAAAAAAGAATATTCCTCCAGTCTCAGTGCCTCTTGGTCCTGTGCCAGAGGGCCTATGCTATGGGCGGATACAGAGCACCATACTGAGATATCCCACATCTAATCTGTTTTGTGGGTCACTGACATTGCACCTCACTCCCGAAACTGGAGATGTTCTAGGTGAGAAACTCTCCTCTGCTGCTTATTCCTGGTCTCTCCCTCGCACGCCTCAGCGTTTTCTCCCTTTCATCCACAGTCTCACTTCACTGCTTTGGCGAGGCTCAGGCCTTCCCACCTAATGTCTGTCTTTCCTTTCTTCTGCTCCAAGTCTCCAGGTCTGGGAAACAAGAGTGTGATCTCATTGCCAAGTATGTATCGTATGTTCTGTATCTCTGTTTCTCAACATAGACTGCAAAACTTTCAGCACTAACGATCGCATATGGAAATTATGGTGACTTCAATTCCTTGAACACTGACTTTCAGAGAAATATTACGAATTTTATCTTTTTATCAAACTTGCAAGATCAGCATTTTTATTATTGAGGAAATCTGGACAAAGAAGCGTTGCTGGTTAAACCCCCAGTCTTTTAGATGTTATATAATTATTCAGTTATTTTTAGCCAGCAGACTTTGCTCCTCCCCTAGACTAAATTGAAGAGGCATTGTTGAGAACATTAAAAAAAAAAGGTCTAAGAAAATTGGTTTCGTTTCTTACAAAGAGTTTTCTTCTGCAGAGCAAAGGAATAAAATTGATTTTTAATCTGATTTACCTAAATTGTGCTAGATAAGTTCAGAATGTTTATAAAAGAAATGTTTTCTCTTCAGAAACTTGTAATTGATGATAAGGAAAAGTGACTGAGTGGTTTTTCGGTTCCCATTTCATTTCCTCTTCCTTCATTGATGTTTCGTACCAGCTCATCCGGTCGGTGAGGCAGGGTTTCTATGTCGGCGTCACATTGCCCTAGTATCACCTTTTAATTCCGTCCTACTCACTCATCCTCCACCCAGTTACATGATCCCACAGAGGCCCTGTTGAGTGAGTGGAAACCAAAGACTTCACACTGGAGGCCACAGGGTCCATCTGACCTTTGAGTGTATTTTATTTAGCCCAATATCCTATTATTTAAAAACAATGAGCCAATACTTAAATGCTAAGAAAGTTTCCATAGACGTCCTGGTTTCTAGATTTTTTTTGAAAAAACTGTGCACACATGCAACAGTGGGCTGGAAATGAGTATCTGCTGACCTCTTTATTCCAGACACATTCTTTCCAACTGGCCATAGTCTCTACCATATTTTGTTTCTGACTCTGAGATGAAGCATTCCTTTACAGTATGGAAAGTGAATAAGATGACACTGGAATATAAGGATTCTTCTACGAGGTCCACTCCACTCTACCTGTTACCCTATAGTGATCAAAGTCTGCAAACGGCAGTAACAATCTCTACCTTGGGAAAAAGCAGTTGATTGGTACTGCCATATATTTGCTTAAGATGGACCTCTGAAATGTTTCATTCTCAGGTAATACAGTAATTTGGTGTATTAGTCTCTTGCATTGCTGTAAAGAAATACTTGAGGCTGGGTAATTTATAAAGAAAAGAGTTTAATTTGTCTCATGATTCTGCAGATTGTACAAGAAGCATGGTGCTGGCAACTGTCTGGGCTCTGATTAGGCCTCAGGAAGCTTTTATTCATCGCAGAGGCTGGGGACCCTATGTGCCACATGGTGAGAGAGGGAGCAAGAGATGGGGGAGGAGGTACCAGGCTTTTCTTTAAACAACCAATTCTCACATGAACTAATAGAGGGAGAGCATACTTAACTATTGCAAGGATGACAGCAAGACCATGGGATCCACACCTAAGACAGAACACCTCCCACTGGGCTCACCGCCAGCATTGGAGATCACATTTCAACCTGATAGGCTGGGCATGGTGGCTCACACCTGTAATCCCGGTAAAAATACCAACTACATTTCCTGGTGACCTTTGCTAACTGAAATGTCAATTTTCAGGAATAGTGTTTTTGGTTTTTGAGATGAAGTCTTGCTCTGTCACCCAGGCTGGAGTGCAGTGGCACCATATCAGCTCATTGCAACCTCTGCCTCCGAGTTCAAGTGATTTTCCTGCCTTAGCTTCTCGAGTAGCTGGGATTACAGGTGTGTGCCATCATGCCCAGCTAGTTTTTGTGTTTTCAGTAGAGATGAGGTTTAACCACACTGGCCAGTCTAGTCTCAAACTGCTGACCTCAAGTGATCTACCTGCCTTGGGCTCCCAAAGTGTTGGGATGACAG